CTCCTGAGTAGCTGGGACTACAGACACATGCCTCCGTGCCTGGTTGAAATAATGTTTACTTTCTACTCGAAGCCTTCCCAAAATTTTTAGCCGAATTGCTCCTTCTTGATCACTCCTTATGCTGTTCATTTATATTTTCATTATGATACATAATATTATTTTTTTGTGTTATAGTTCGTTGTTTATATGCGTCTTTCTTCAACTAGATAAGTTCTTGATGGTGGAGACACTGGTTTCTTACTCACTTCTTAAAACTCATCTAGCACCTGAAAATAATAGACATGTAATGAGTGTTTATTTAAAGGGGCTCTTACAGGTATAGCTTGACAAATCAACAGAATGATTATTATTACTATTATTATTCTTGTAACTACCACCACATGTGACTTTATAGGGTATAATTATGTGAGTTTGGGCATGAATATGAGTAGTAGAGTTGGGTGGGGTTAGAATGGAGCAACTCACACAGGGATTTTTTAAAAATAAATTCTGACTTCTTGTATTTCTGTTTTCTCTTTCCATAATCTCCCTACATTAAAATATAACACATTAGGTGCAGCAAGTATTTTCTTGGCTATTAATGGGGTCTGATGTAAAATAATTGATTATTATGGGATCTGCAAAAAGCCTCTAGTCTTCCCATGTTGTTACCTTACGATAAATGAGGTTTATGGAAATAGCTAATTATGTGTTTGTCTAAATTCCAGCTAGAACTTGGAGATTTATTTATTGATTCATTTATCCTTTAAAATTTTTTGAGTATTTCTTTGCCATGTGCTAGACACTATGCTAGGCACTGCACATGGGCAATGGGACCTGCAGTGTTCAAGTCTATTCTGTATGTGTAAACAGGAATCTCCATGAAGAGGCATAAGAATCACTCAAACTTGTGGTTCAAATCGACTTGAAAATACAGTTGGGGATCTTTGATCTTAGTTTAACACATTAGGTTATTTTCTTTTCTTGCAGTAATTGGATCTATAAACTTGAATTAATGTAGTACTCATATTAGGGTATGTCAGCTGTACTGATCGCAAAATTTAAACATATGAATCTTACTCTAGGAGAAATTTTACTCTGGCCCACTAGCAACTGCTAAGAACCATCATTTTCATGACTGAACTTGGGCAGTAACATAACCTCGTAAGCTCATCTGTAAAACTGGGATAATAACAGGCTGTTTCTCAGTTTCCTTGCAGAATTATTTTTATATACTCAAGAAGAACCTATGGTGCTTTTGCGATTCTGTTGCTCAATCTATTTAATATTCATAGACACTATTAGAAATATATGTGAAAAATACAAATTAAAATAAGTTCATGTTCTCTCTTAAAATTCACTAGAGTGATGGTAGTTCTGAAGTGTAATTAATAGAGAGAAATGTGCATTTCTTTATCCAGTTTTGAATGTGTGATATGTGGATGTTTCACATTACCTTACGGTGTATCAAATGTATGCTTAAAGCACAAACTTTTAAATGAGACATGCACTTTCATTTCTCATATCTTCTTTGTAAACCTCTGAAATCACCTACAGATTTTATTTAAAATGAAAACACTACAATTGAGCAACTACAGCATGCAATCTCTTTCAAAACACAAAGCTTACTAATTTGCATCAAAATAAAAAATCAAGACAGCTTAATTAAAACCTTGACACCATCAACCTCTTTAATTATACGTTAAAGAGACTGGCAGCCTGGGGACACCAAGTTGAAATCAGTGTGCATTTTGAGTGTCTCTGGTGTGTGTACATGTGCAATTCACAAAAGGGAAAAAAAGAGGGGCATTAAGAGAAAGCAAAAACATTATTTAAATTTTCTTTGGACATAAATAATTTCACACTTTTAAAACAGGTAGGAAAAGGGCAAATTTGTCTTTTCAGAAGAATAATGCAGACTAGAATTGTTAAACAATGTTTCATCTCTTTTCTACGTCTAAATTTCAATGCATGCTTTCTTTTTAAAGAACAAAGATGATAATTAGTACTTAGAAAACAGGGTTCAAAAGCTTGACTACTGCTTGTTGGATGTATATAGACCATATTGGGTAAACGAACGAGGAGAGGGCTGTCTGTTTCTCTCCTTCTTTTGGGTGTATATAAATTGTGCAGTAAAATGACTGCTTTTCTTTACATCTTAATTCTTGTTGTCTTCACTGTTATGTGCCTATTCCCAATTTCTTTCTCTAGTGTGGGACCCAGCAGCTCTTTGTTCTCATTGTGTCTGTCGTCTCCCTTTCTTTGTGTTGCAGGGATACTGCTACCCGCATCTGCCACTGAGCATGCGGGAAAAATCCTTCAATAGATTCTTTACTTAGGACTTTCAGTAGTATAACTCCACTTTTCCAGGTTTTGGTAATAACCAAAAAAATCGTAAAGACAGACCGAAACTTGGAAAGGTGATGGGTGATACAGGTGGTTAGGTGGTGGGCTAGCAAGCTGGGATACCGGGAAGGTTAAGGGAGTCATCACACGCATTTATCTAATTTAGGGAAGGTCTCACCAAGCATGTTAAATGCAAAACATCCACCCTGCACACAGAAGCTAGAGATGTAGATTAACAGTTGAGAAGACACAAGTGTTTCTGAGCAGGAAGACACAAAACCGTATCTAAAACCAATAGATACAATGTGTTAGCAGTTCCAGAGAAACGAGGTACATTGTCACAAAGATTGGTATGTAAAGTCCCTAGCAAGGACTTTCACTAGATAGTATATCATCTGAGGATGAGAACCAGTGGTGTAATTTTTCTCATAATATAATCTCAGGTTTTCCTTTGATTGTGTTAAACACTCAAAATGCTAAGTCAGTATTCATTGAACACAACTCGATTAAATTCCTCTGCTTAAAACCTCTTTTAAAAAAGCAGATTTGCTCATGGTTTCCAAGTGGTAAGAAATAGCAGATTTGCAGGTGAGATTAAAGGGTATTGGGTAGAATTCTGAGGTTTTCTGCTTTCCGCTTTCCCCCCAGCAAGACTGCCTTTAATAACTCATACATTATTTAACAGAAGGCGCACTAAACAATTTTACTCATATTTCTCTCCATAACCATTTTTGCCTATTGTACTCACTGCCCGCATCACGAGCTCTTAGAATGGTTCCTGGCACAGAGTAGGTGCTCAAAGATCTTTTGTTTGGAGAATGCGTGAATATACATAACATGAAAAAAAAAGCAGTTCTTCTTTTATTGTGGCAAACAATGGTGGTAACAGTTCAAATTGGACTATTTTAGAATAAATACTTAAGTAAACACTTGTCTCCTTAGCAGCTGGCCACTCTACCTCTTAGAGAGAGGGCTTTCTTCTCTTTCTTCTCGGCCTCCTGTCTCCCACCATTTTGTTTCCCTATTACCCATGAGTACATGAGTGGCATCGTCCCAAAGCCTTTCTGTTCCCCCTATCCACTTGTCGATTTTCAGAATAAGGATCCCCAGCCTTTAAGTTTTCTATAGGATTCGTTAGTCAGTGAGTATTAAATGCTGTCATGGAGCCTAACAGAGAGCTGGGAAGGAAGCAAACCAGCGGGCCCTAGGTGCACTCCTCAAGGGCCAGCACCTGCAGCTGCTTTTTTGGGAACCCCCTGGCCCCCGCACCTGGCTCAGAGACCCGCGCAGTTCGCTGTCCCAGCAGCTGCAGGAGGTGCCTGTGGCGGGAAAGTTCAGGCCGGGTCCAATCAGGCACCTGGGATTAGGTAGCAAGGGTGGGTGCGGCTTCCTGGCCCCCACCAGGGCTGCCGGCCCCGCCCCCTGGGTGG